TTTCGGACCAAATCTTCATTCCACATAAGGTAGTTTAAAGCCATGATTCTGATTCTCTTTTCAGAGGGCAGAGTTGGATATCGTAAATAGGTCATGATAGGATTTCTCCAATCATCTTCAGTGATTGTGGCAGAATTGACATCTATTTCCATTCCCTTGGTCAGAACAGATGGTAGGCTTTTCTTTCCTATTCTGATGATTCTTTGTACACAATTTTCGGGCATTTGTATGCCTGTTGCCGCCTGAGCCAACTCATTGGCTGCAAAATTTTCTTCCCTTGGGATATGTTCCCAAGTGGCTTCTCTGAATTCTATCAGAAGATTCCTAGCTGCCACCAAGTAGACGGCTAGAGAAGGGCTTAGGCACTTGTATTCCCCAGCAATTTGTTTTAAAACCAGCATGGAATCTCCCAGAATTTCCACAGATTGGATTCCTAGTTCTACCAACATTTCCAAGCCAATGATTAAGGCCTCATATTCTGCCCTGTTGTTGGTACACTGGAAATCCAATTGGAAAGAGTAGCAGTGTCTGATTCCAAGTGGTTCTTCCAAAACAATTCCTGCTCCGGAACCTATATCAGTTTTTGATCCATCAAAGTATAATTTCCAAGGTGCAAGGTGAACTGAATAGATAGGATTGTTGAGGCAGGTGTGAGCTCTGGTTAATAGATCTGCATTTGCTATGTCTAAAGAATCCATATTTTCAATCTCCTCCCCGGGATGGTCTGCTAGGAAGTCTGCCACAGCTTGTCCTTTGACGGCTTTCTGAGGAACATATCTGAGAGCAAATTCTGTCAAGGCCAGGGTCCATTTCCCAATTCTGCCTCTCAGCATTGGTCTTGTTAGCATGTATTTGATCAGATCTGTTTTGGCAATGATATAGATGGTGTATGGCAGCATGTAATGTCTGAGCTTCACAGTAGTGAAGTACAAGGCTAGGCAAAATCTTTCAATTGCAGAATATTTTCTTTCCACCTCTGTTAGAGTTCTGCTTAGGTAGTAGACTGTCTGTTCCTTCCCTTCCTTGTTATCCTGAACCAATAAACTTCTAATGGATATTTCTGATGCAGAGATATAGAGCTTGAGTGGTCTGCCTCTCTTTGGTGGGGACAGAACTGGTGGATTTGAGAGGTAATGCTTGATTTCCTCAAAAGCTTGTTGGTGATGTTCTTCCCATTTAAAGATTTGTTCCTGTTTTAATCTTAACAAAGAAGAGAAAGGCTGGATCTTTCCTGCAGAATTGGATATAAATCTCCTCAAAAAATTAATTTTTCCTAAGAGACTTTGCAATTCCTTCTTGTTCCTAGGTGGCAAAGCTTCCATGATGGATCTTGCTTTGTTTTTGTCGATCTCTATGCCTCTTTGGTGGACCAAGAATCCTAGGAAATTTCCCACTTGAACTCCAAAAACGCACTTCTTTGGGTTCATTTTCAGTTTATGCTGCCTCATTCTTAGGAATGCTCTTCTTAGATCTGTCATGTGGTTTCCCTCCTCTGGTGATTTAATCACAACATCATCAATATAAACTTCCAGGGAATGTCCAATCATATCATGGAAAACAGAATTCATTGCCCTTTGATAGGTAGCCCCTGCATTTCTCAAGCCAAAAGGCATTACAGTGTATTCAAAAGCACCTATATGCCCTGGACACATGAAGGCTGTCTTGTGGATATCTTCTTCTGCCATCATGATCTGATTGTAACCTGCGTGGCCATCCATAAAAGATAGCATCTGGTTGTGGGCAGCTCCATCTACTAGCGTGTCTGCCATTGGCATAGGGTACTCATCCTTGGGAGAGGCTTCATTCAGGTTTCTGTAATCCACGCAGATTCTGACTGCCCCAGTTTTCCTTTTTAGAACCGGTACAATGTTAGCTAGCCAATCAGCATAGATGGCAGGCCTGATGAATCCTGCCTTGAGCAGCCTTTCTATTTCTTCTTTGACTTTCAGTTCTGTGTCCATGGACATCCTCCTTCTGGCCTGCTTGACTGGTAGGTATCCCTCTTTGATTGGCAGCTTGTGTTCTACCAATTCCCTGTCTAATCCTGGCATCTCATGATAATGCCAAGCAAAACAATCTTTGAACTCTTGCAGAAATGCAACGAGTTCCTTCTTAAGTGGCTCTTTCAATAGTGCACTGATAAAGGTAGGCCTTGGATCCTCCCCTGTTCCTAAGTTTATTTCCTGCAAAGGATCTTCTACCTCTGGCAGAGAGTCATCCAGTGCGGCTGGTGCAAAAGCTAGCCCTTCCTCCTGTAGTTCTTCTTCCTCCTGGCTTTCCGTGCTTTCATGAGTGAATTCTGCCATATTGATGG